AGCGTCGACTCGTAAGTCTTCTCCAAATCTTTATCACACCAAAACATAAACACACAAGAGCATAGATTGTCTTTCATTAAAATCTCAACTAAAACAAAAAAAATCAATCTCCGGTGTTACATATCAGAGCATGACCAAAACTGAAACAACAAAACTAAAAGAAATAGCTCCAAGAGGTAGCTTTCACTCATAGCAGTGTCACTACTCTTGAGTATCTGTACGATGCCTATGTAAAGGCAACATTCAAATAGAAAGGGTGAGAAACCACAATTAATAATAATAAGCATATACTGCAAGATAGGATATCAACACATAACATACTCTACACAATCTCCATTACAGTATATCTATTACATTCCCACACCCAACTGACCAAATCAATCATAACTCAACAAATGCACATATGACTCGTTATGCAATACAATTCATCTATGAAACTTTATGCATATGCATGTGGTACCAACTCAACATTTGGTTCCCTCTGTAGCCAGGTCCCATCTTCTGAACCGATGAGCCCCCTTTTTTAAGCTCAAAGCCCCCTGTTTTGAGTTTGGGACAAGCCGCTAGTCCACTCTTCTAAACTAGCAAATATGCCGCTTGACACAACTCAACATGAATGTATGAACATGTTAAAAAATTCAATGCATTAAGACCCCTCTTATTATCCTAACATACATACATTGACAAGCTCGTGTAATCCTCTCTTCTGGATTACCATAACAACTCAAACAATACTCAGCATAACAACACAACTCCAGCACATATAGTTCAACTCAATAAAATTATCAATTCACATATAAGTAACTCACCTTTAACTCAACGATACACAACAACATACTTATAAAACCAACAAAATTCAAGAGAAAGCATAGTAATCTGGCATAACATCATTAACTCGTCTATACATAACCATCTCTCATAAAATTAATAAAATCATTTAAAAATTATTTGTAATCATTTAAGTCACGCCAAACAGCCCCTAACACTTAGCCAACAGTAGCCCACGATTCCAAAAATTGAAAAATAATCAAAAATATATTTTTATGAGTTCAAAACATCTCAACGGAGTATTTTTATTAAATTAATTATAATCTTAACTCATAAAATGTTATTTCAATATAATTATACTCAACATAGTTTCCAAAGAACTTTAAACAACTCTACAATAATCTCTGCAACTCTAAAATAACTCTAAGGTGCTAAAAATATCTCTACTGCCAACTCTTGCCAGTAAAGATAACTCTTATGAACTCAATTGGTTGTTCTAACAACTCTATTGACGACTCTAAATAATAAATACCTCCTACTCAACTCTAAAATATTATTACTAATTACCCAACAACTCTATTTTAACTCTTTTGCCTTAACACCCTTAAGCACATAATAATATTATTCAAAAGGTAACCATATAATGTCAACAATGCTTCAAGTTCAACTCAAGTGTATCCTATATTTTGATCTCTAACTCTAAAGAATCCAAAAGCAACTCTGACCAAATAAAATAGAACTCTTAAACTCTTTAAAAAGTAACGAAAGGTCACCACAATCAAAATTGCTCAAAACTCTAGACCTAACTCTAAAATTGTCTAACTTCAAATTAGCACAAAAAAATAAAGACTTATGATAAAATTATGAAAATATCCAGTATAAAATATATTTAAATCTTCTTTCAAACGCACTTAATAGTACCTCCAACAGAGTTATAAAACTCCAATTCTATTCATTTTAGTTCAGACCTATAGAAATAATTTCTGCATAAATTCTAAAACAGAATGTCTGACTTTATAATAGCACGGAAAATTATATACTTATGATAAAATCATGAAACTCTCCAATTTGAAAGATCATTAAACCCTCTTTCAAACACAACCGGTGACATCCCAAAAGTACTTGCGAAACTCAAGTTATGCCTGAAACATGATGACCAACACAGGGCTGAAACTGACTACACCTCTTGTATAAAAACAAGCAAACTCCTACTATTGTAACGCCCCTAGACCCAATTTCTCTACTTCAAAAGAAGGATTGTCACATTAGTTTTTCAATGCTTCAAACCAAGTCTCAATCCGAGTCCCGAAACTCAAGTTATGTCTGAAATAAGGCAGTCAATCCTCTCCTACTGCTAACTGCGATTTTCTACGCTTTCCTCCATGTTGAACATATTTCAAAACTCGTCTATTTTGCCTATTTTAGTTCTAACCACCCCAAAATCACACCTATCAGACTCCGAACAGGTATATAACATAATTCAATTACTATTAGATAAATTTTCCGCAAAAGGCACCAACATGAATCATCACATAATTACTAGGCAAGGCCGAAATTCCAAAAATAAATAATTTTTCCTAACCTTATACAAGGTATTCAAGAACATGACATTAACAAAGTTATCACATTAACCTTACCTTATCTAAGACATCAACATATGTATCAAATCAAAATATAAGAATGCGCATAAATCACTCAATATAGCACAAAAAAATATACAACAACACAACACAAAACATAATTTTATACAATCCCTATTAAAGGTTAAGGACTCGTCTACCCAACCCCTCATGCATAAGCCATTTTTATTAAAAGTTATTCTCCCCTTACCTTAGATTTCTCTTAAAAAATTCTTCCAAGCTCTATCAATAGGTTATCTTTCTGTACATTCTCTTGCTCTTTTTCTTTCTCTTGCCCTTTCATCAATGGGTTGTTAATGGTTCCCACCTCTGCCACTATAAAGTAGTTATAGTTCCCTTTATTCATGTCTTGTGAATTGAATTGGATTACAGTGTTACAAGACATATATATAATACCAAAATTTAGTTTATCTAAAACTCTAATCCCTAATTTTTCTGAACAAACCATTATCTCTATCCATAATCATCTCAATAATATGAATTATACTCTTAATAATCTATAGTTATCTCAACAACTCATAATTATCTCAATAATATAATTTATACTCTTAATAATTTATAGATATCTCAACAATTCATAATAATCTCAATAATACAAGACTTATTCAACAAAAATCATCTTGGTTTAGTTTCTCATAAATTTTCTATTAAAAAAATAATGATTTGATAAAATGACACGGAATATATGACATTCATTTAAATTAATTAGCTATTAACATATTATTAGTTAAACTACAAAAATTGATAGTTTTTAAAGTTAAAACTAATGTGTTAAGAATTTTTTTACAATTTATATGGTATTGATCATTTCAGTTCATTATGTAATACCACAATTTCTGAGTTCAATAAAAGGAACAAAATTATGTAATTTAAAAATGAGAGAATCAATTTAACAGGAGTGGGTAAAATTAGAAAATTAAATCTGTAATTAAAGAGTCCAAATATTTAATATTTTCATTTAATAAAATAAAAATAGAATAATTTATTTTTAAGAGGCTAAAATAAAACCTAAAAAAATAACTTAAATGATAAAAAAAATTACAATTTAACCAAATTTATATTACCTTATCATAATAATTAAAAAGGTTAATACATTAATATGAATATTAATTTTGATGAATAATTCATTACTATTAATTTACCAATTCTTTTCTGGTCACAATTTCAAAAGCTTTTTATTTTCCTTCCTAAATAAGAAACCATGATAACAAACTACTCATCCACACTTGATGGTACAGACAGAGTGATGCACCTATTCAACGTAACCTTTCATCTCAGATAAAGTCAATTTTTTAATACTATATAAATTATAATATTAGAAACTCAATTAATGCTTTAAATTAAATTCCAAATTATATAATAATTATTTTAATATGATAAATATAATTTCAAACAAAAAAAATAAGAGTGTATTGTTTGTTATTGTCATGCAAATTTCTTGGTAACGAAACATAAAGATTGTGTTTGAAATAAGAAGTGTATGAGACATGACAGAGGATACATAGAAGCTACTAACATTGTTGTTTGGTATTAATTTTTAAAGATATTAAATATTTTGAACTGTCTATTTAATGTTGCACACTGTTTTTCTTTTTCTTTTTGGACTAAAACCGTTTCTCTATTGTTTACTCTTTTTTGAAACTATAACATTTTTTTTCAATTTTGAGTTTTTTTCTTGCAGATATTATTAACCAGAGGTAAAGTTACACAAGTGATTCTTCAGTTACAGAGGTGAGAAACTATAGAGGCTGTTTTTTACTTTTGAATTATGCTTTGGAATCATCAAATTTGAGGTGAATTGAAGTTTGATATTTCTGTGATTTTGACTGTTGTATTTGGATTTGAAAATCTATGTGCTTAATATTCAAACATTATTTAATTTTCTTTTGTAATTAAAGGAGTTATATGATTCTTCTTCATATGCTTGAGTTGTGACACTGCATAATCCCATACACAGAATCATGTAAGCTATATTTAATTTGTTTTGCAGTTTTACTTTTTCTTTTTCTTTGCTCAGATCTTCAATTTTCTGTAGAATTAATTATAGATGTTATATTTTAGAATCTTTGTTTTCAAAACATTTTTCATCTTAATTTCTATCTTAATTCACCCTGCATTTTCAAGAAAGATGAAACTGATCAACATAGCCATCTTATGTTTTTAGAACTCTGTGTAGGTTAGTCACGGTTCAGCTATGACAAAATGATTAGAGACTCTATTTAACCATGTTTTAAGAGTGACAAAGATGTTATGATACACTATTTAAGTAGTATAACCATGACAAATTTAGGTCCTGAGCCTCAACCCATCTTGCACGTCTACAATGACGACCGTGCTGATCAAATGCCAATAATTCGCTATGATTCATGGGAACCGTGGAATTTGTACCGCGGTACTTTTGCGCTCAAATACATATAATTCTTAGAAAACCATTTACTCGTGGGACTAAACCCTTACCACGTATCAAAATGAATTGCGAATGAACAATCTAGATTAATAGTCGGAATCGTTTAAAATTGATTTTGTTATTGTGTAATACAAAACTGACACCACTCTTTTTCAATGTAGTGTCAAGTGATAACTCTATCAAAGATGTGGAGTTCAAAAGCAGGCAGCAAGAAACAAACACATTCATTTCGATGCGAGGATCAAATTAGTCCAAACCATAAGAAAAAACTTCAGGACAGAACTAACAATAATAACAATTTTGTGATAAGGGAGATTCCAATAAAGAAATTCTTCAATGTAGAGCATTGTGCTAATAACAATGCTAACAGAGACTTTTCGGATTTCGGGGAAGGAAAGAATTATTCTGCTACAGGCATGAATGGCACAGACTATGATACGCCGGAGCTGGTTGTTTTTATTCAAGAGGATCGTCATCAGCAATACGTGAAGGACATTTGCATTGACAGGAGAATTTCACCGGAAAGAAAGTGTGATATCAATGAAAGAAGTGATTTAAATCTAGGAATCATGGAAACAATGTCGAATAACTCGTTTCGACCGAATTGCGCCTCTCAACACCATTCCTTTAAGGAAGCTATGAAAGTGCATGGTTTCAGAAACTTGATGAAAAGTGAAATGGAACTTTCTTTAGGAGACAGGTTTTCAATTGAGCATCATCACCTCACAAAGAAGACAACATCAGAGACACTTCGAGAGGTTAGACATGTTCCGTTTTTATATTCTCTGTTCCATTTTCTATTCCAAATAGAGAATATAAAAGATGCACCGTGAACCAATGACCATCGTGTATTCTGTCAAATCACGTGGATGTTTTCAAGTTAGTAGTATGATACGACTGAATAATGAATTTCTATTAGACGACAGTATTAAATTATCCTACACTATCTCCAGTCCTCTGTCAGTGCATATCCATTAAACTCTGCTAGAATAATCAATTCAAGTTAAATGTACGCTTTAGAATTTTGTTGAACCATTTTTTTTCCGATTCTCAGGCTTTCAAAAGGGAAAGAAACTTGACGAGGTCTTTTGAGAATTGGCAAAGAAATTCGATTTTAGGAACAAGTGGAAGCAGAGCAGGGTTTCCACCACATTGCAGAAACTGTCTACAAATGAATGACATCAACATGTATAGACCAGATATAAGTTACTTACAAAGTCTAGCAACAATTTCAGAACAAAGAAAAATTGATTATTCTCAAGAGATTTCTAATAATGTCTCAGAATCTCAATCTGGTTCAACACAATGTATTTGTCATGCAAAGAATTCGAGCATTGATAGCATAGGCAGTGCAAATTCATTTTCTTTTCCTATGTAAGTTTTTTATTCTTATTTATTTATTTAAGATTGTGCGGTCCAACCCAAAGGGTCGAGTTAGTTAGAGTTAGTTAGAATTCTGTTGTTGATGTTTCGACGATTCTAAGGTTTTGAAATGAATTACAGATTACCTGTGGAATGGGTTGGGAGTCCGGTGAAAATGATGGAAGCTGACAGAAGTCAATCAAGAAAGGCTGGATGGGGGAAGATATGGTTACCATGTTGTTGTGATTAGCATACATTGGGTTGGGATTTCTAAGTTCATTCAAATATTTTGGTCTAAATTTTTTTGTATTGGGTTGGGAGTTCCAAGTTCATTCAAATCTTTTGGTTTGAATTTTTTTCTGTGTCATTAGAATGATATACACAAAATCTACTATGTCATGTTTGATTCCATTGCTTCATATAGTGAAAAGAAATCATCTACTATGACTTGAATTTTTCAATAGAGAGAGGGGCAATGAAAGAAATAATTACATTTTTTCATCATGTTTCTTTTCTCTTTATTTCTTATTTATATTTCACCAAAAACGGAGTTGTTTCAATTTTTTCAAAAACCCTGTATATATCATTTGTAGTTTAATTATGAAAAAAATAAATAGAGACTCTATATGACTATTTTTAACTATTATAAATATTTATGAGATTCTATTTAATCACAAAGTAGCAAATTTAAAGTTTTGTACAATAGTCCGCCTTACATATCCTCAAAGTGAGTTCTTATGACTACAATAAATTTGATAAGTAAGTTGCAACGTACAATAGCTAACAACTAACTAATAAGTTACTTACTAACTTTGACACCTCAGTTTCAAAACAAAGGTTGAAAGATGTTTAAGAGGTTGAGCTTCCTTAAAATGAGTAGGAAGAAAAAGGAGTAATTCCGCAATATAATTATGTGGTCCATTTATTGAATTTTAGATTAATAAATTACATTTGTTTAACTCAACTAACACACAATAATTATTGATTTATCCCATTCACTCAATTATAGATAGTTATTACTTAATTAATTTTGTTATAAGTTAATTACGATTTGTTACTTGGTCATGATTATTATATAAAATTTATCATATATTTATTGTATTAATCATTTTGCATTGAATCAATAAAAAACAATTTGATCATTTGTTAGTTTATTTCTCTATTTCATATATACTCAAACTTACTTCTCAACATGTTGCAAGACATCTTGACTATCACATTAGAGGTCATTGGAGCAATATATGTCATCCTCCAAATTGTATATGAGCACCCCACAATTTTTTATAATAACAAATTTACCTTTCATATTATTTTACCTTTTAAATTTTTACATTGCAGTAAAAAATTATCTCCGTAAGAATCTGGTAGAAACAAAATATTCAGTAGTTGTTTTGAAATATCTGGTACAAAAAATTTGACAAAGTTGGTTTTTATGGACATTTAAAAATCTGGTATGATGTTTTATAAGATTTTTTTCAAATATCAAAAAATTCATTGAAGTTTTACTGGATTTTTGACAAATACTAGAAATTATTATGCAATTTTATCGATTTTTTTTTCAAAAAATCTGAAAAACCCTTGAAGTTTTACTGGTTTTTTTTAGAAAAATCCAAAATTTTCTTGGAACTTTACCGAATTTTTGGGAAACATGCGGAATCATTTGTATTTTTACCGATTTTTTTCGAAAAGTCTTAAACTTGCAAAGTTTTTGATGTTGTTATTACGAAAGATTTTGACAAATCTAGAAAACATGTTGAATACTAGTTTTTTTTTTTGAAAGTTCATGTTCTGGACTGGACTGACACATGCCCCACAGTTGGGCAAGGCCCAATCCAGTCCAGCTTTAGGCAAGGCCCAGTAAGAAAATTAAGACAATATGATCGTTGGGTACAACATAGTCGTTGGGTACAATATAAGTGTTGTGCACAATATAGCCATTGGAGAATATAGCCATTGGGGACATCCCCCTCACGCGCTTGACAGTTACGCGATCAACTGCCCATTCGGAATTCACGGGAACAGTTGGACCAGGTCAAACATCACGCGCTAGATCTTCTACTTGGCAGTCTCCCATTGGTCGACCTGATATTTCGGTCACATGGGAGACATTGGCCCCGCGCTGGGGGAATCTCATAAATACCCTCTCTCTTAAGGGGGTCAGGTATTCAAATCATTCTAACTCGTACCTAAACATTTGTACTTGCTCTCTATCTAGCTCAAACTTACTTTGGCATCGGAGTACCTTGCAGGTACACCCCCTCCTCTCCTACAACCATTGTTGCTGCTCTACATTGAAGGCCACGATGATCCATTCTGATCAGACCAGGTCAGTTTGGTATACCGAATTTTTTTGCAAAAATCGAAAAAATTGGTAGTTCAGTATGCTCCAATTGTGCAGTCCTGTTTCTAATGGTTCCCAAGTAGATTTTAACCAATTTTTCACCATTGATGGAGTATGTTTTGCATAAATATTTACTTTTTACATAATTATATAGTCATTATTTATGATATCTCATACATTGATAATTTTATCTATATACATTGTAAATGTCAAATATTCCTTTCTCGGGCTAACGTTTTGGCATGGGGGCAATCTTTTGGTAAACAACATGATATTATTGTTATTAATATTCATTCTAATATATCAAATGGGATGAGAGGGAGGAAAGATAAATTGATTATGAGTTGTGAGAGAGGAGGAAATTATAAGAAGAAGATTGTGTTTGCAGAGAATTATACTATGAAAGTGAAATATCCATTATGCTGAGAACTATGCCAAGTGGAAGCGGCTGGAAGATTGTGGTCAAGTGTGGGTTTCACAATCATATGCTAGCTAATGACTTAAATGGGAATGACGTATTAGGTCGTTTAAAAGATCATGATAGAAAGTTTGTGAATGACATGACCAAATACAATATGGCTCCCAGATACATAGTTGTTGCTTTGCAAGATAGAGATCCAGAAAACCTAATGAGCGTTACCCTGTTCTACAAGGCTAGGTCTACATACAATCCGAGCAAGAGATGTTTATTGACTAAAATGCAAAATCTTCTAAGTATTATTCATGAAGATAAATACATATACTAGACCAGAAACAATGACTCTTCAAATGTTATTGCTGATATCTTTTGGACACACCTTGATTCACTGAAGTTATTGAACATGTTTCATCTTATGTTGATGTTTAATTGAACATACAAAACAAACAGGTACTTCTTATGCCAAATGCTTCTATTTCAGTTTATTTGTTTCGGCAGTTGCTGGGGGATGTTGATGATTTAATTTACATATAAAACAAATAGGTGTCGAATTTCACTACTTGAGACTATTGGTGTTACATCCACGAAGTTGAAATTTTCGGTTGGTTTTGAATATCGGGAACATGAAAGAGAGGAAAAATTTAAGTGGGCACTTGAAAAGCTAAAAGAGTTTTTCGCTTATGAGAAGTTGCTACCAAATGTTTTGGTTACTGACCTTGAACTGACGTTGATGAATGTTATGGAAATTGAATATGAAGACATGTTAATATGAAGTGTAAGGAGTATGTCGAATCACATAGTCATAAGCATGTTATGGATATGTGGAACAACATCATATATTTGAATATGAAGACTGGTTTTGTGGTACATGTAGCAGTACAAATTGTGAGTGTAAATTATTGATTAACTTAACTCATAAAACAAGAGTCGCCACCACACTTTTATTTTATCCAAAAGAAAAGAAAAAAGAGTGAACAAAACCTAAACAAGTTCTAAAACAAGAACAAATAAACAGAGATAGGGTAAGGGGGTTGGTTACACTAAGGGAAGGTGTTAGCATTCAAAACGTCTATAGTACTCTATACGAACCCCTTTGAAAATCTACAACTTTTTGGTCTGAAATGAGATTGGGGAGATGTGAGAAGAAATTTTTTTTAAAAAAGATTTTTGTGTTTAGAGAGACTTCTTGAGCCTCAGGCCTACGTACCCACAAAGTGCAATATAGGATCAAAACCTCGTAGTTCATGGTACAAATAACAAAATAGATTTGTTTGGTTCATTTTAAATGAAAAGACAAGTCATCATTTTAAGTAGAAAACTACCATTAGTCACCCACAAGTATAAGAAAACAACATTTGCATCACATTGAGATGGAGGATTTTTGCTTGGATAAAAATCAACAAGTCTATCACTCAACATCTAAGTGGAAAATATCAATATATTTAATAATATAGGGAATAGGAGAATTACATCTCAATTATTAAAATGACTTATGTCTAAACTTTATGAAAAGTTTTAAATGAAAAAGTGCACAAAGCACAAAATGATTGAATGAGTTTTTGTATTTTTTGTCTTTTTTGAAATAGTCAAAGTATGTTTAAAGTTAATTGAAATTTATTTAAGAAAAATATTTTGAAAATCACTCGACAAATGTCATGGCTTATTATTAATAAGGTTATAGTTTTAAAAACAATAAGATTTTGAAAAAGGGAGAAGATTTTGAAAATTGAAAAAGGGGAGGAGATGAAGTGATTATCCTAAAGCATAAACATAAAATCCAAGGAAAAAGAAGGATCTAACCAAACAAACCTAGCAAGCCTTGTGACATAAGTCAATTAAGAATTCCTTCCTTTGGATTTAAGTCTCAAATAAAGCCAAATAAGCAAATGGAAATCCAAGCATCGGATAAAGTGATGATAACAAAGATAGGTCTTCAAGAGAAATCCTTACGCCAAGGGAACCAAGTGAAGTTTATGATCCAAAATGTAAACTTCCAAGCAAAGGTCAAGATCCTAACTTCTAAGTCCATGGTCCAAGTCCAAGTCAAAGCATAAGATCACAACAATCCGGAATTAAGAGAACCAAGTTTTTTAAGTGTTTTGATATTTATTAATGTCTTAAAAGAAAGTCCAAATGGACTAAACAAAAAGAGAATAAGAAAAAAAGGTCCAAGTTGACAAAGAGAAAAACAAGATGATAATAAGATATAAAAATTCTAAAATAAAAAGCATAAAAGTAAATTACAAGACAATATAGAGCAAAAATTAAATGGCACAAAGTAAAGTTACTGCAACAATATAATTAATGAGGTTAATATTAATGATGGAGAACATTTTGTCATTTTTCGGAGAACACTCGACTATTCATCCATAAGCATGAAAACATGAATCTATACATCATTAATGGAAGGGCTCTAACTTGGATAGAATCGACAAGTATGCCACTAGCTCCCTTGAATGACAAAGAGACAATCTATTTCACACCACACTAT